GTGTGTGTGTGATGGAATATTTTTTGGCCATAAAAATGAATGAGATCTTGCCATTTGTGACAACATGGATGGATCTAGAGGGTATTATGCTAAGTGAAATAAGTCAGTCAGAGAAAGACAAATACCATATGATCTCACTTATATGTGGAATCTAAAAAACAAAACAAATGAATAAACAAAAAAAGAAAAAGAAAAAAACACACCCATAAATACAGAGAACTGGTGGTTGCTGGAGGGGAGGAGGGGGAGAAAATGGGCAAAATGAGTGAAGGGGAGTGGGAGATACAGTTTTCTAGTTATGAATGAATAAGTCATGGGGATAAAAGGTACAGCACAGGGAATATCGTCAAAGGTATCGTCATGGTATTAGATGGTGACAGACAGTAGTTACACTTGTGGTGAGCACAGCATAATGTGCAAACTTATCAAATCACTATGTTATAAACCTGAAACTAATGTAAACACTGTGTGTCATTTATACCTCAACAATTTGAAAAACTAGGTTGGATCAATATATGAATATAAAATATATATATTTAAGCAAAATCCCTGAATAGAAAGCATCTAGATGGTAACAGCTTCTTATATATTTGTTACACATAGTAATGAATTTACTACGAGGATAGGGCATTGGATCCATACACAGTGCTATGGGGAAAAATGAAGCAAAAGCAGGTGAGATAAAGTGCGAGGGTTTCAGATACAGTGGAGAGTGAAAGCTTCAGAACAAGTGTCTTTAACACTGAAACTAGAAGATACTCAGGCATTGGCTATTGTGTTCTAAAACAAACAAAAAAAGTATTATCCAAGTATTCCATATGTAAGCAAATTATCATTCATATAGCAATCATATATAAAGGAAAATAGACCACAATATTTAAAGTTACCCAAAATATATAACATATATATTCTAAGTGAATATAAATTTGGAATGCACATTCCAACTGAATGAAAGATGAATCAAAATACAATAATCAAGAGAAGACAAGCTGTAGCAGGATGATGAGGACTAAACCCTTTTATATATAGAATAAAGGATACATAATTATAAATATGTGTTCAAAGATAAATACCAATTAAAGTGTTTATTTAAAAAGCATGCATGCCAAGAAAATATTGAAGCAGAAGAATATTAGGTGGATCTTATTCTAAAAAATCAAATCATACTGTAAATCCATAACAATTAAAGTGATACGGTATTTAAAAAGGACAAGAAAAATAGCAGGAGAAAATGGAGTCCAAAAACAAAGACAAGTCCACACTGGAATGCAGTGTATGATCAAAGTAGTTTTCAAAATTACATGCACCCCAATGCTTACTGCAGCATTATTTACAATAGCCAAGATATAGAAGCAGCCCAACTGACCATGGATATATGAAGAGATAAAGATATAGTGTGCGTGTGTGTGGGGGGGGTGGGGGGGTGGGTGTGTGTGTGTATGTGTGATGGAATATTTTTTGGCCATAAAAATGAATGATATCTTGCCATTTGTGACAACATGGATGGATAAGAGGCACCTGGGAGGCTCAGTTGGTTGAGCATCCAATTTCGGCTCAGTTCATGATCTCACAGTTCATGGGTTCGAGCCCTGCATCGGGCTCTGTGCTGATAGCTCAGAGCCTGGAGCCTGCTTCAGGTTCTGTGTCTCCCTCTCTCTCTGCCCCTCCCCTGCTCGCATTCTGTCTCTGTCTCTCTCAAAAATAAATAAACATTAACAATTTCTTTTAAATAAACAAAATAAAATTAGTGGATAAAAAGTACAACATTCAATATGTAATCCTGGGGCAATTCACTGAAATTTTAGGACAAAAAGAAACCAGGTCTTCATTTCTCACTGTAGATAAACAAATCAAAGACCCAAATTAAAAAAAAAAAAAAAAAAAAAAAAAAAAAAAAAAAAGCCCAAAATGCTAGATAATATAAGGGGTTTTTTTAAATGTTCTTGAGATAATGATATCTTACATTAAATAACATAAACATCCTAGAGTCAGTTAATAAAAATAATGACATAATCAACTACATAAAAATTACAAGCCTCCATTGGGTAGAAGATACAAAGTTAAAAGACAAATTTCAAAGCACTTCCTCTACCCCCACATTTGTGATTATCTGCACAAATAAAAGAATACTTAGAGCTCTGTGACAAAACTTTGAATAACCTGTTTTATAAATAGGCAAAATACGGGCAATTCAAGAAGTATGTAAGAGATGCACAGATTTGATGGGACACTAGATGACTGCACATCAGACCTTGGCAGGAACGAAGCAAGTTTGGGCAAAAGATGCACAGCCAGGCCGCGCTGCAGGAGCATGGGACACAGCATTGCCACCATCTATGTATATCCTCTCCACCCTCACATCCTCACCTAAGAGCGGTTGTTGGGCAAGTGAGCACCAGGTAAACTGATCACATGCTTTCCCCCTGGCTCTAGCGAGAGGTGGAAAGAGGAAGGATCTGTTCCTCTGGCTTTCCTGGTGGAAGGTGGTAGGGGTGGGAAAGAGAGAAGGAAGGAATACATGAAAGAAAGAAGAACAGCAATAGTGTCGCAAATCTACCATTTGTCAGGACTTTTGCTAGTTTCTTCTACACAATTACCACATTTTCTCTTTACCTGTATTCATTCCATGACATATTTGATGTCTATTATCTTGAGGGATGTGGTCTCTTTGCCTCTGTGTGCAAGGGACCCTGAAGGGTCCATGGGGCCAGGTGAATGGATCTAGAAATGCTGAGAGCCAGTAAAGCTTTCTCTCAGCCTCAGAGGGAGAACATGGCCTTGCACGTCCGCGACGAGTGCCAACAAATTGCCTACAAAAATAATTCATATGGAAAAAGTTGTGTCTCAGGGCTCAACAGTTAGGCAACAGCCCTGCAAGCCATTCGTCAGATGAGACCACTGAGGAACCAGAAGAAGCGACTGGACACCACACCCCTCTTCCCTCAAGGGCTACCTTGTCTAGCCTGCTCAAATGATTGGATCAGACTGAAACTTCCAAGTTGGACTACGTTTTTTTTGTTTTTTGTTTTTTGTTTTAATTCTGAATACAGGTGGGTTTGCACCTATGAGGAATCAGTACAGTTAAAGAGAAATAAGTCACAGTTTTACTGTAAAACGGAATGTAGTGTTAATAAATGTTGCAAATTCACATAGAAGGAAATTCCCAAAGAAGGAAGGATATCAGGAAGCAGAGAGAAAGAAACTAACAGGGTTGGTTTACTATTCTGCTGATGCTCCTTTGCAATTCTTAATAACCGTTTTGAAGTTTATTTATTTTCAGAGAGAGTGTGTGAGCACAAGAGGGGCAGAGAGAGAGGGTGAGAGAGAATCCCAAGCAGGCTTTGCACTGCCAGAGCAGAACCCGATGCCTGGCTTGAGCTCACAAACTGTGAGGTCATGACCTGAGCCAGAATCAAGAGTCGGATACTCAACTGACTGGGCCACCAAGGCGCCCCATGATTCTTAATAATTTTGAACTCCCTCCCACCTCAGTTTAAGTAAATGTGTGGAAAGTGGGGAGGGGAGCCAATACCGGGCATTTGACCTTGTCATTCTTCCCATGTTTACCTTCTGTCTATAATCCCTCAGCCCTATCCATGGTGTATCCTTACTCTCATTCTTCGGTGTACATTAAAACTTCAGAGTCTTGTCCCCCAAATCTGCCTCCTGACTGGTAAATAAGGAAGATAAAGGCATTTAGGAAGTCATTTTCTCTCTTCACAAAGTTTTGACTTTCAAAGTCTCTCACCTTGCTGTGAATATCAAAACACCAAAAATCCCATTTTAGATATCAGAGGCTGATATTACCTTCTTTACTTTTATGTCCCTGCTGTAACAATCTCACTAATTCCTTTTAAAAAAAAAAGTCTCATTTTATTTTTGAGAGAGAGCAGGGGAGGGGCAGAGAGAGAGGGAGACAGAGGGTCAGAAGCAGGCTCTGCGCTGACAGCAGAGAGCCACAAGTGGGACTTGAACTCGAGACCCCTGAGATACTGACCTGAGCCGAGCCAGCAGCTTAACTGACTGAGCCACCCAGGCGCCCCATGATCTTATTAATTCCTAATGCCTTTCAGCATTCTCCACCCCAGGAAGGGTAGATGGTTCTGGCTTACTGAGGGGAAAGCCATGTTCTTTAGAAATACAGACTGGGTTGGTTAACTTTCCATACTTCCCGCTTCCTCAAATATTCAAGAACATTCTTCCTAAGTGACCAGGACCAGGTTCATGGGTGTACGACCTGCACAGTCACAAGGAACCTCACCCTAAGAGGGGTGCCATTTTTTTTCAAGTGCTGCTATCACCATATTGAAATTCCCAATCATTTTCGAGCAAGGGGCTCTGTAAATCATGTAGCTGGCTCTGCCTGTGAGTATGGGCCTTTAGAGAGAGCATTCCATCCACAAAAACTCAAAGGGATTTCATAATCTAGTGTTACATGTGGTGTAAGCCTACTCTGCCATATAAACGGGGTGTTTTTCATTCTCTATTTCTGCTATCCCATTTGCTTCCTTTCAGGTAGGAGCAAAAACTTTTTGGGTCAAGGTAAGATTTGTTAACATGAGTACAAATCCCAAGCTTAGGAAAAAGATTGGGTGGGACCGGGCCTCTCAGTAGCAGGAGAGAAGGAATGGACCATATGCTCAAGCACTCTCTTTGTTCAAGACTGCATACCACATCAGAGAGAAGGGAGGAAGGAAGAGAGCCCTGTGCGTCCATCTGTCTACCCACCTCCCCAAGAGGGCAGAGATAGCAGAGGACCATCCCTCCTTGTGCCAAGCAGCAACAGTTTAAAAAGCACATGGGACTGGTGTCACAGGACTAACAACGATGCTTCTTATCGATCCCAAATTACATATGCAGGACATGTCTTCCCAGTAAGTGCACAATTGATATCCTGTATAAATGCATGACCTTGTATCAGCCTGGGTAACAGCATGTAAAACAAATATATTTCAATATGAAAGACAATTTTTAATGCACATGAACACAAACTTACTTACCATCCAGTAAAGTTTCACAACATACTTTCCGTAGCTATTGAATAAGGGCATGTGACCTTTCACAGCCTTGCACAGAGAGTAGATGTGTTCCCAGGGCTTCCAGGCAAGACAAGGAGGCTCCCCTGTGGTCCCTTTGAAATAATTGTTCAAAATGCCTCCATTGAATATCTTCCACACTGCATAGATTTCACTGATAATCCATCTCATCAGCTAGAGACAAAAGTCACTAGTGTTAATCAGTTGCTTTTCAGTTGTTGGTACTATAATTTAGGGGGGAAACCAGTCGAAAATCTACTTCCAGTAGTAATATTAAGTTCTACATGTAATGTGTTCCACATTTTGATTTCTAACTTATAAATAAAGTCACTGTTCTTGCCTTTGTTGTTGGGAAGCAGAGTCACAATACAAGCTAAAAAGGCTTAACATTAAACATACTCTTAGCTAAGAGCTATCTTCCAGAGTAAACTGTCAGTGATTTGAGATTGATCTCCATTTCAGTTGTGTGTGTGTGTGTGTGTGTGTGTGTGTGTGTGTGTGTGTGTGAGAAAGAGAGAGAGAGAAAGAGAGAGACAGAGACAGAGAGGGGAGAGACGGGGTGAGAGAGAGAGAAAGAGAGAGAGAGGGAGAGAGACTGAATGCTTCTGAGAGTAGTGGTGATTTTATTCTGGAATTAACTTTCTATAAATGAGTAAGCTACTCTTCTGTAAGTGTTGAGAAGTTTGAGAAGAAAATGATCTCTTTTATGTCAATAGGATCTGTTAGACAATGAATGAGATGAGAAAGAATTAAAATTGCATACACAGTTAAATCTCTAAGTCTCGTATTTCATGTGCCAGTCTGCAGGGGCAGAAGTGATCTAAGTAAAACTCCCATGGGCAGAGTTTTCAACAGGCAGCAAGGTGCAGTGGGGAGTGGGGCAGAAACAGAGACCAGGGTTTGAATTCTCTTCCAGGTCCTTCTGCTCTAGGGCACGTCATTTCACTGTCTCTAAACTGCAGTTTCTGTAATGCAGTCTGTAAAACGTAGACTATGCTATCTATTTTTCAGCATTTTACAGGGAATAGAAACAATGCAAAAAAAAAA